AGACTCCAGCACTCCAGCTTAGACTCCAGCGCAGACTCCAGCGTAGATTCCAGCGCAGACTCCAGCGTAGACTCCAGCGTAGACTCCAGCGTAGACTCCAGCGTAGACTCCAGCGTAGACTCCAGCGTAGACTCCAGCACAGACTCCAGCACAGACTCCAGCGTAGACTCGAGCGTAGACTCGAGCGTAGACTCGAGCGTAGACTCGAGCGTAGACTCGAGCGTAGACTCGAGCGTAGACTCCAGCGTAGACTCCAGCGTAGACTCCAGCACAGACTCCAGCGTAGACTGCAGCACAGACTCCAGCGTAGACTCGAGCGTAGACTCGAGCGTAGACTCCAGCTTAGACTCCAGCGTAGACTCCAGCGTAGACTCCAGCGTAGACTCCAGCACAGACTCCAGCGTAGACTGCAGCACAGACTCCAGCGTAGACTCCAGCGTAGACTCCAGCGTAGACTCCAGCGTAGACTCCAGCGTAGACTCAGTGGTTGTCTCGGTTGCTGTGACCTCTAACACCTCCTGTGACAAATCCTCCCTCCTGCCCTGGAGTGGCGTCTTGGTTTCCCATGAGTACAACAGATAATTAAAATATGTTGTACGTGCTCTCGCTCCATCATTATATGTTTTTTTGTAGTCTGCACTGAACGTTCCGTAGRGCCATTTGATGCTGGATGATAGGCTGGCACCAAAGTCTGTTTTATGCCGTTGTTTTTCAGGACCTCTTTAAATTCACTGGCTGGGAACTGTGGGTTATTATTTAACACCGTTTCCTCTGACAGACCATGTCAAGCAAAGATGTGTCGGAGTATTTCAACAGTCTTCAGTGCTGTTGTGGTTTTCTTGTGCACCACTTCAAGCCTTTTAGAGTGACTGTCCACCAACACTAACAGGTTTTCTTTGTCTTTTTCAGAATCAGTAAGTATTCTCTGGGCAGGCCACTTACAACAGTGCAGAGTGGTTACAGCAGGGCTTCAGTGTTCACGATGTAAAAGCTTTGGGTTTCTCTTCCCCAGTTTCCATTATGTGTAATATGACCGCCCCCCACACCATAGAGGGATGCATCAGATGCTAGCCTCAGTGCTTTAGTTGTGTCAGTGTACCACAACCTGGCTTTGCAACAGTAGTTTTTTGATTTTCAAAGGCCTCATTACATTCAGACGTCCACTTGCGTGGACTCCCCTTAGTTAGGAGAGAGTGTACACAGGTTGTAGCKGTGAGGGCAGATTTTTCAACAGTAGTTCAACAGTCCGATGTAAGGACACATTTCTGTTTCATTTTGTTGGGCAGGAAGCATTTATGATGGCTTCCACTTTCTGGTTAGATGGAGGCCCTCACTGTCCACACTGTGTCCTAAATACTCCACAATGTGTCCTAAATACTCCACAATGTGTCCTAAATACTCCATATTGTGTCCTAAATACTCCACAATGTGTCCTAAATACTCCACAATGTGTCCTAAATACTCCACAATGTGTCCTAAATACTCCACAATGTGTTTTAAATACTCCACCCTACCATCAATGAATTCCCACTTAGACCACTTTACTCTCACCTCATATCTTTCCAGGCCACCCAACACTTCATCCAGCTTTAAGACGTTCCTCTCAGGAGTCTGCTGTAATCAGGATGTCATCATGTTACATTATCTAATCCTTGTAGGATCTGGTCCATCACACCCTGAATGATCGTCGACACACTGGAAACTCCGTATGACAGGCGGTGATAAGGTGTACAGTCCARGATGTGTGTTTACACTTAGATATCTTTCTCCAGTTCCAACTGCTGATAGACACGTGACCAGTCTGATTTACTGAAGAGATGTTCTCCACCCAGTGTAGCAAACAAATCTTCAGTGATTGGTAATGGGTATGTTTCCTTTTCCACACTCTGGTTCTAATAATAATAATGATAATAATAATAATAATATTTTTATTTGCAAAGCACCTATCAGGGCACCCAAGGACACCATACAGCAGAAGAACATCAGATAGCTTTCTGTAAAAACAAATACAGTGCAGGGACTAACAGACACAAAACAAATACAATAGAAAGTACAAAAAGCAGGGTTATGAGGTGTAGAGAGGAGGAGGATCTGAGCGTGAGGGGTTGGAGATATGAAGGAGGTCAGACAGGGGAAGAGGGTGGAGGATCATGGATAGCTTTGAAAGTCAGAAGTAGAACTGATTGTGACTTCATAGTCCCCTCAAATCCTAATGGACTTGTCTGCTTTGGAGACAATGACGACAGGCCACACCCACTCACTGGGTTTGGTTATGATGTCCATTGTTTCCAGCCTGTCCAGCTGTTTTTCTACTGGTTCTCTGAGGGCATAAGGAACTGGTGTAGCCTTCTTAAAGATGGGCTGACTGTTTGTTTCACCCTAAAATGGTGCTGGGCCCCTCCTCACAAACTGCCGTGTGTTTTTCCAYCACCGCCTCCTGCTGAAAGGGTCAATGTCATGTAAAATCTCTGACATCAGTGTTGCCTGGACGCCTGCGTCCAGCAACATCTCTACCTCTCTGCCTTCAGCTCATCGCTGTCATCTTCATCACTTTGTGTTTTCCTGCACATGCTGTGCCTTTTTGTTTTTACATGCCTGAGCTGTGTGTCTGTGAGCAGAAATGGCATTTTTCATTTTTAAATCTGCATGTCTGTGCAGCGTGCTCACCCCCTCAGCTTGTTGTCTGGCATCATTTTTCTGTGAGTTATGTGACCTCTTCTGCTCATGACTTGCTTCTGATTTATTTTACCATGTTTTTTTTAATTTCCTCCTGATGCACTCTGTTCACATTTCCAGCTTACTTGAACTTTGCAGAAAATTCCTGATCTTTCCTTGAGGCAGTTTSCATCACTGATGCTGTCTGACAGCTTCTGGAAATGTTGGATCTTTTTTGACAAAGGTCTCTAATGTATCCTCACTCCTCAGGCCCTTTATGAAGTGGTCACGTAGTACATCATTAGAACTGGCATTAACATTTAATTACACGAAATGAAACAGAACATTAGCTAAAAGTGGACAAAAAGCACATTAGCTAAAAGCCAAAAGAACCAGAACACTAGCTAAAAGTTGTCTAATAGCTAAAAGAAACACAACACTAGCTTATTTAGCAAAGCACTAACTSAGGGCTCTGCAACCTTTACGATCAGAAGAAACATTTCTGCTCCTCAGATCACTGATAAAATGTGTCCAGAGCCGCAAAACAAGCTACAACTGGGATTATCAACTGGTGGTCCGTGGGCCATTTTGGGAAGCTGTACGACCCGTGGAGGTGACATTATAAAACTAAAAAATATACTGTGAATTTTAATACACATTAGGACAAATGAAAAGACTATTTTCATGTTAACAAAAAAAGCTTTCTATAGTTTATATTGAATTTCATAAAAACTAGTACAACTATACTATTCTCTAATTCTTATTATTATGTAGTCTTCAAATTTTTAAAAGGCAATTCTGACGGATGTGAGAGAAAGATCATAGCAATAAGTTGGATTATTTACGTAAACAACAGGCTAGTATGAGCTAACCTACAGGTTTTACTTTTTGCATTAGTAGTATTGAGCATATATTTGCATACAAATTGATTTCTGTTGTTGGTATTATATATACTGCTCAAAAAAATAAAGGGAACACTTATACAACACAATCTAACTCCGAGCAAATCAAACTTTTTTGAAATCAAATTGACCACTTAGAAAG